ATTAGATTATCAATCAAATGCAAGACATTTCTAGATTATTCAGAATGAATACATTCTGAATCAAATTAATCATGTCTATTCTTAAATCTCCTAACCAAATTAAAAGTTAATTAATCAAAATAAATTCTCAATTAATTATAGATAAAATTATTACCACCAATCAAAGTACATTATCAATTGATAGCAAAAACTCGTTTAATCATATAAAAGTTCCTAAATTCAATCAAAGTAAATTCTCGATCAAACCTAGAAACCCTTGAACTCATATGATTAATATGCATGTAGATTCAAACACCTTATGATGCAAAGATTATTGCTTTTAATATGATTGAGAGATGAAAGACATAAAAAGATAGTAACTCAATTCAATAATCAAAAGAAACAATTGCATTAATTCAACATAACCTCAGAATCCATAATGAAATTATGGTGGAATAGCCCTAGGAGCTTAGCCCTCCATGAATGGAGTAAAATACATGATAAAATAAAAGTGAGAGGAGTGGTGGATGAATGCTTCCAAGTGGAGAAGTCTGAGAATGAATTGTTCATCCCCTGAGTCTCTTTATATACGCTTGATTGGACTTGCACTCTGAATCTTCTATTGATAAGATCTTTTATCTTATATTTAATATCTTTTAAATATTCAATAGATTTAATCAGTTTTTGATAATATTTTGATAATATCTTTTCTAGATTCAAAAAGATTTGGCAAATATTATCTTATGATTTTTATTGATATAGTTAAATAAGGTAATTATTTAACAATATTAAATAAAATATCGTAAGATATATTTTCTCCAAATTATCTTTTAAAATAAATTTGCCCAAAATTACATTTCAATCCTTTTTATTTTATTTAAAATTACACAGAAGTCTAGAATTTTTCTCTAATTGCACTTTAGTCATTTCTTTCTTTTCAAAATTGCATATGAGTCCTGAGTTGACCAGATTGAACCAGCTTTGACCATTCAAATTCTTGCTTTAAATGAATAAAATTTTAACTTCAGCTACACAAATAAACATTAGAACATCCAAAATAATTTATGCAACTAAGAATCGCATTTTAAGCATCTTTAATTCTCAAACACAATAAATTCAATCGTCACAAATTCACTTTAAATCTTTAAGCACATGAATCTCTTCGAAAATTTGAATTTTAAAACATAAATGTGGACATAAATATGCACTCATCACACCACCACAGTTATCCTTTTGCACTCCTAGGCAAAACTGACTAATTTCAAGACTTTGTTCTGGGTCATTTTGCATTTGGAGCAAATGAATGAACAACACCAGACATAGATCAATCATCTAGAGATCACTTTATCATGGACATGCAAATGAAATTGCTTTATTCTTCACACATGAGTTAACATTTTTGTGTTCCAACTCTTAAATAATAAATATACCACATATTTATCATAGGTTAAAATTAGATAATATACCTCAAAATAAATTAACAAATACATGTGTAAAGAAAATGAAAAAATATAAAATTAAATAAGATAGTTTTGAACAAAAATATTTATAATTATTGTCACATCATAAAATTAAGTTCTATTCATATTACATGATTTTAAAATTATTTGATGGCATGTTTATAGTTAAATGATTGATAATTATTAACTTAAAATTAACTTGTTTAATGAACACCTTGTTTTTTTTAACACATTCTCTTATTATTATATGTAGATACTTCACCTTTTGCCCTTGTCATTTTTTTTTTTTGCAATAGATCTTCCCACAAGGCTATAAAAATTCAACTTTAATGATATAGTAATATAGTAGACAAATCTAGACCGGGACATAAAACTCTTCAATCCTATGTCATAATTAAAATAACAATTAAGGTTTATTTTATACTCTTCTAAGATTCAATTTCACAAATTAGCATAAAATATAACCAAGTGTATTTTTTCTATTATTAGTGCAATCAATGATGTCTAGATTAAAGTAGTTTATCTCCTCCAAGTCATTACTTTATATATATATATATATATAAACATGTAATTTTTTTGTTCCTTGGAGATATTTCATTTTATTTGTAGTTTTTCAATGATCAACCTCATAATTACTCTTCCAAAACTCTAATTGTAAATGAAAGGTTAACATAAACCTAAATATACATAAAACTTTCAACAACTTAATCATATGAAATATTTTCATATGTTCCTATGAAAGGTCATCTTTCAAGACACTAACCTTATTCAAATCTACTTTTCACAATGAAAGTCACATATGGTGAATAAGATCTTATGTTAAATCTCTTTAAAACTTTGTTGATATAAGTATTGAGACAAATCCAACATACCTTGAGACATTTCTCAATGGATCTTAACGTCAATGGTATAACATGTTTCACTCATTGATGACATACCCCATAATCATGACCAATCATACTCAAGAAGAGTTAGAGTCATATGTGGAAGGTAGGCATAAACTCTTATCATCATGGGCCATGAGTGAGTTATTAGTTTATTAGGTTTATTTTAGACCTTGTTTAATGGTTCAAGTAATTTTTTTGGACCTTGTTTTTTAGCCTTAGGTTGTAGTGTAAGGTTTTGGGCCTAAAGGAAATGGTCCTATGGAGACACATGGATCTAGGTTAAAATCTCTAGCTTAGAGAGCAAACCTTATAGAAGCTTATGAGTCTTTGGCTAGAATGGTCTCTAAGTTGCTTTCTTTTTGTGAGACACATGCTCTTGTCATGGCATGCTCCTAATGGAGAGAACTTCTCCTTATTAGTGGTAATGTGTCATGCTCCTAATGGAAATAATTTCTCCTTAGTACTAACCATGTGTCATGCTCCTAATGGAGAGGATCTCTGGAGAGGATCTCTCCTTAGTAGTGGTCATATGTCATCCTCCTAATGGAGAGGATTTTACTTTGGTCCTTAAGTTAGAGTATTAAAGTTTTGCTTTTAGAATTTGGAGACACCTTTAGGGTTACCTAAGCTTATAAATAGCGGTCTCTTCCCTCGTGTAAATTCACCTTTGAATTTATTATTGTTATGCTACTAAATTTGTGTCATATTACTTAACTTACGTCACCAATATTAGAGCACCCCATCTAAGTTTTCTCTAATCACCCTTCCTTCTTAAGAATTGACCAACCCAACCTCTTTTGAGAGCACCTAAACACCGCCATATACCCTTTCTTGAGTTATATAGCTTGGAGGAGGAGTCACTATCTCACTACATCAAACCTACCATATTTGCACAATATTCCCACTGCCATTAAGTTTTCACAACCACCAACCCATTTGGAAGTATTCTTGCTAGAGTCATACAACTTGGAAGAGCTTATTCCATCATTTGGTAATCAGAGCTTAGGTTATTTTTGTTAATCATTGTGTTTTTCTAATCTTGTCTTGTTATTACTATCTTGGAATGGTCAAAATCAACATCTCTTTTTTGTGGTGTAATTAGATTTTAAAATAGAAAAGAATTTGAGATAAAAAAAATTGTAAGTGAAGAGAAAGGTGAGAAAGTTATAAAAGCTTAAGAGAGAGAAACGAAAAAAAGAAAGAAAAAAATATAGAGAGTGGAGGGCTGCGCTTGTTACTGTTTTTTAAGTTATATGTAATATCATTAAGAGCATGTTTGAAGAAAAAAAACAATTTTAGATATATATATATATATATATATATATATATATATATATATATATATATATATATATTACAAGACTTTTTATTTTGATACTTTTAGACATCAAAATGAATGAAAATTTTCAAGACTAAACTTATAAGTTATAACAGAAGAATACTTATTTTGGAATTGAATTCGGTTGTGATCTAAGTTGATCTTGATTTTATGTAATCATTATAGTAAATTCTAAATATAATATTTTGTGACTTAAATATATATTTTTGTCTTAAATTATTTTTAAAAAGTTGTATGTTAATTTTAAGTTAAATTGTATTTTTTTAGTTTTTATATTTTGTGAAATTTATATAAAACATTTGTTTAATAAATAATATGTAAATTTTATATTATAGTTTATTGTGTAATTTCGTTTATCAAATAAAAAAACATCTCATACCGTTTGCTTGAAAGTATTGTATATAATTTTCATGAAATACATAAACAAAATAAATATATAATTTAGTCTAAAAGTGAAACAAATTTTTTGAAAATAATTTGAAACACATCTAATTTGAAAATAATTTGAGTTTTTTTTTTTAATTTTTCTCTTGGATTAATGTTCTTATTAACTGTGAAAGGAATTAAATTGCACGATATCTACGTATTATTCAAATTATCGCCATTAGTCATCATATATGTCCGAATGAAAATTACTATAGACATTTTAGTTGAAGAACTTGTTTGTGATAAATGTAAGTAATATTGAAATTTTTTTTTTCTTTTTTTTGTGACGTATTTAATCTGGGATTTAAAATGTCTCCATCATCATAGAAAAATAGACATTTAATTATCTTTTTAGTCAAATAAAATTTTATTAGATACGACTAAAATAAAATAAATTTTATTAACATTTATTTATAATATAAAACAATGTTTATTGGTAATTGCAAACGAAAGCACCAGTGGTCTAGTGGTAGAATAGTACCCTGCCACGGTACACTGATGGGTCAATCACTAATTCGTCTCATAAACGTAGATGAATGCTAAATTTTGTTTATATTATGTTTTAATTTAATTTTATGGAGATCCAGCCGAGCCCAAGTGAAATTATTTTGACGCTCACTTGATAAGAATGCAAATGCGACTGAGTAGGTTAACCCAGTAGATGTCATACTAACAATCTCTAACAATGACAACCGATATTTATTTGTTTTGTAAGTTGAATCTATTAGCAAAACAACATTAAATGCATTCAATAACTTGATTGCATAAGGATGTGTCCAAAAGAGATCACTAACAACTTCAAAATCCTCTGCACATCTACTTCAATGTATGTAATTATCCCGATCCAACATCATCATCAATTGTTGCAGCTTAGTTCTCGACCCTCTCAATGAGCGTTTATATGTATACCTTGCTGTGTAAACTTGTTTTATTGTAGTTACATTATGCTCATTATTTTGTTTCAGAGTCAACAAAATATTTGCTGGTGTTACTTGAATTTTAGTCATATCAACAAGTACTGCTTGTTCAGTAGGATTTAACCTACCAGCATAAGGATGCCCGACTAAAGTTTTTGCTAAATCGTGGTTATTGTATCCACATATCACTTGTAATACCCACCCATCGCCATTACCAGATGGTTTGCCCCTTAACTGGAAAGGACACTCACATTTTCGGGTGCCATATGCACTAGGTTGGTCGGGTTTGTATTTTCTATATTTTCCGCCTCTTTCACATCCTAGCAACACAAACGTCTTCCTCCCAGGTTGACCGGTAGCTTTATCGGATCTTATAGTCACCACAACAAATCCTAGATCATTTGCAATCCCTTTTATCCATTCAATTAAGTTTTCACGAGAAGAAAAACTTTCATTTGTTGTGAAATTATTCGTCTGATCTTCCTCAGCAACCTCATTTATAAATGATGAAAATTCTGATTGCATGGTACAATTTATTTCAGAATCGATCCCATAATGGTATTCGTCCATTTAAATTATAATCACCTATAAAAACTAAAAAAATAATACAATAAATTTATAATTTATAATTATATTATAAAATAAAAAACTAATACAATAATTATACAATTATAAATTTATGAACAATATAATCTAACTTAAATCACCAAGTTAAATAAACATAAAACTATATAAAAAATTATTAAAAATTATATATTAACAACAAATAATAATTATAAAAATAAAGTTAACTAGTTTTATTCAATTTTTATATAAAACAAACCTACTTAAATAATATTCATAAAACAACATGGAAAATTATGAAAAAATTACATATTATCTAATTATATTATAAATTCATAAAAATTATACATATACTTAAATATAATTATAGAATAATAAAATAATATATAAAATAACTACAAATTATATAAATAAATGAATGGCTGTCAAATATCTTAGAAATTTTTTAAATAAATACTAATCCTTACTTGTAATAATTGAGTATTCAAATAGGTAACTCAGTTTTTTTCCATGAAAAATGTATTTTCAGCTGAATACCAAACACTCTTACTAAATAAGATAGGCGAAAAATTTTCATTCTCGGATATGGAAATCCGATATATATATATATATATATATATATATAATATTGAATTTCCATATGCAATAGGTAACTGAGTTTTTTATTCTGAATTACTTTTATTAATTTTAATAAATTCAGAAAACAAAATTATATCAATGAAAAAATATATAATTTTATTATAGACTAATACAAAATCATAAATAATTTTAAAATTAATAAAATAAGTAAAACAATAACATAATTAAAATTTTATGTATAACATTAAACATGTATCGGATATTGATATCCGAATTCTCACTATCGGATCTCCAGGTCCGATTCCTATGCATTTCGTTATTCTCAATTTGTTTCAAAATCATATGTAAAGATAAAAATTAATTTAAATATTAAAAATAAATAAACTAAATAAGGTAAACAACATACATAATATTTAATATAATCTGAGTTAAATATTACAATCTAAGTTGAGTATCGAATATGTATATCCGAAATTTCATATAATCGGATTTCCACATCCGATGCGCATCAATCGGATCTCCACATCCGATCAACATCATCGGCTATCCGCAGTCGATCAACATCATCGGCTACCCGCAGTCCATGAGTTCATATCGTTTCATTTTCGGTAGCATGCAAACATATTAACGAAACTAAATTACATCTCCATCAATAACAATCCAACCATGAAATCTATCTATGCACACAAATTAAAAATAAATACTAACCTCTTTCTACAGCAAAAACACAAAGAAGAATGAGGTAATCCGAAACTGCACCAACACAAAGAGTCAAGCTGCCAATACACCACTCCAAACTACACACTCGGAACAATACTTCTCTTTAGATAATACTCAATCACTCTCAAGAAAAAAATATATTATCAAAGTCCAGTGAAGAGTTGTGAAAGAACCGTATGGTTTCTTTATAAAAAAAATGGGATGCAAGAGGTGTAGGGGTGAGGGGGTGCAGGAATGAAGGGTCCAAGGAAAGAGAAATTTAACTACTCCTAGTCATCTATAACGTACACATTTGAAGCAATGCCTTGCAACAATGATGTCTTGATGCCTTGAAGTAGTCTCCTAACAATCCTGAGATGTTTTCGTTTCTTTTCTCTATTTGGAACTTCTGTCAACCCTCTTTCTGTAAAAGCCAATTCTGATTTAATTAATTCGCTCAACGCACAGTTATCATTCGCTGAGCGAATGTTCAACTGCATATCCTTTAACTATCCATAATTTAACTATCCATAATTTGCTCAGCCAATTGTTTTGGTACGCTGAGCGAATAATAATCTTTTTAGCTGAACGATTTAATGATGGCTTAGCGAGAAACATCTGATAGCACTCCACTAATGTATAACGTGAAAAACACATTATTTCATGAATAATTACAACTGTGAACTCATTTATAAGTATGAAACAAGTATTTTTCACACTTATCAATTGTTTGATGGAAGATGTGACGGAAGACAATTAAAACATGACAAAAGAGTATGGTTTAAGTAGCCAAAGGAAGGTAAACATGGATGTCCCAAGGGAAGAGGAAATTTGAAAAAAGAAAATTGGAAGAGAATATAACAATAACGGTAGGGTTTTCATCCAATTATAACTAGAATTATATTACGAAATATAATTTTCTCCTAATTATAATTAGGAATTAAGTAAGATTAGGGTTGTATACTTTAATTAAACTCCAAATCTGATTTTCTTAAACTCTAATTAATTTTCTCTAAATTAGTTTTTTTTTAATTTCTAATTTTTCCTAAACGGGGATTCAAAAAGAAGAAAAAGAGCTCANATCCGATGCGCATCAATCGGATCTCCACATCCGATCAACATCATCGGCTATCCGCAGTCGATCAACATCATCGGCTACCCGCAGTCCATGAGTTCATATCGTTTCATTTTCGGTAGCATGCAAACATATTAACGAAACTAAATTACATCTCCATCAATAACAATCCAACCATGAAATCTATCTATGCACACAAATTAAAAATAAATACTAACCTCTTTCTACAGAAAAAACACAAAGAAGAATGAGGTAATCCGAAACTACACCAACACAAAGAGTCAAGCTGCCAATACACCACTCCAAACTACACACTCGGAACAATACTTCTCTTTAGATAATACTCAATCACTCTCAAGAAAAAAATATATTATCAAAGTCCAGTGAAGAGTTGTGAAAGAACCGTATGGTTTCTTTATAAAAAAAATGGGATGCAAGAGGTGTAGGGGTGAGGGGGTGCAGGAATGAAGGGTCCAAGGAAAGAGAAATTTAACTACTCCTAGTCATCTATAACGTACACATTTGAAGCAATGCCTTGCAACAATGATGTCTTGATGCCTTGAAGTAGTCTCCTAACAATCCTGAGATGTTTTCGTTTCTTTTCTCTATTTGGAACTTCTGTCAACCCTCTTTCTGTAAAAGCCAATTCTGATTTAATTAATTCGCTCAACGCACAGTTATCATTCGCTGAGCGAATGTTCAACTGCATATCCTTTAACTATCCATAATTTAACTATCCATAATTTGCTCAGCCAATTGTTTTGGTACGCTGAGCGAATAATAATCTTTTTAGCTGAACGATTTAATGATGGCTTAGCGAGAAACATCTGATAGCACTCCACTAATGTATAACGTGAAAAACACATTATTTCATGAATAATTACAACTATGAACTCATTTATAAGTATGAAACAAGTATTTTTCACACTTATCAATTGTTTGATGGAAGATGTGACGGAAGACAATTAAAACATGACAAAAGAGTATGGTTTAAGTAGCCAAAGGAAGGTAAACATGGATGTCCCAAGGGAAGAGGAAATTTGAAAAAAGAAAATTGGAAGAGAATATAACAATAACGGTAGGGTTTTCATCCAATTATAACTAGAATTATATTACGAAATATAATTTTCTCCTAATTATAATTAGGAATTAAGTAAGATTAGGGTTGTATACTTTAATTAAACTCCAAATCTGATTTTCTTAAAATCTAATTAATTTTCTCTAAATTAGTTTTTTTTTAATTTCTAATTTTTCCTAAACGGGGATTCAAAAAGAAGAAAAAGAGCTCAGGTGTGCATATGTTTCATCTATGTTTTTGAGATGAATCAGTGATCGACCCATCGATCGTATGCTTTTATCATCACAGCTCCCAGGACAATGCACCAGCCGGGAATCGAACCCGGGTCTGTACCGTGGCAGGGTACTATTCTACCACTAGACCACTGGTGCTGCTTATTACTTGAAAGAAACTTTATTTTATATATATAATTATAATTTCATCTAATTTGTTTACAAATAAAAGAAAATGTAGAAATTATAAACAATCCAGTATATGTATTTTCATGATCAAAATTTAATATTTTACAAGTTTTTTTTTTATAAAAGATGTTTAAAAATTTTATAATGATGAAAAAGTTGATTTAAACCAAAATACAAACCATTGATTTTTTTCTTTCAGATTTTATATTTAATTTAAACCAAACCAAACGTAATTATGTTTTATGAAAAGCAAAAAACCTTGAACCTCTTATTTATTTTGTATGTTATATGATTTTGTCTCTTAAAATATCAATAATTTGAGTAACTATCGATAATTTGATTCAATACAATCAAACACTTAAAATTTAAACTTTAATGTAGTTATTATAAATTTTTGATTTCATTAATACTACTCTAATAGCGATTTTAGTTTTAAATAATTAATTTCTATATTTTCATATGAATTTTCTCAGTTTAATTAATAAATGATTACATATTATATTATATAAGTATTTTAGTTAGTTTGTTATAAGGACAAAGTTTTGAATATTTTCAAAGTTTTTAAGGATGAACACTTAGCCCTGAACTATAGCTCGTTCAGCACTGACTCTTACTCTAAAAATTGGTGACTTCCACAACAGAAAGACTTATCTGGAATTCTTCACACTATCTCATGATTTTACCCCAAATTTCTTATCCCCTTGCGTTCTCCATGAATGTCATGTAACCCTTGTTTAACACATTTCGTGAATTTTTCTTTTGAAGCCAAACCTAGAGCTCTTCTGAATCCTAGTTATCTATTCGCCTCGTCAAGACCTCGTTTCGTTCACCCTTACCTGTCGCACACTGGAACTTCTGCAAGAAACTTCAAGGTAATTTGAGTTTTATGTTTTCATGTACCAGATTGTGATTTTAGGCCTTTGTTTTAATGGAGAGATTGAATGCATTGCTGAAAACAGTAATTACATATTGATTACATACGTTAGTTTGAGTCTATGAAATCATACCTTAGTGGTCTAATCACAGTAGGAGAAACCCTGCTTTCTTCGGAGAAACAATTTCGAACTATTGAGAGGCTATTTGGAAAGACAGTATACTATTTTATATGAAACTTCTAAACTATATTTAGTTATCATAATCTTGAAATATAAGACATGAATTAAGAACCATAATTAGATTTTTTACAATAACAATATAATATATTTAAAACCTAGATTACGATCTAATTAGAGTTGCTAATTAAGGTTAATGAAACCATACCCGTGAGAAACAACCACTTAGGATAACTTCAACAACAAAGAAGGAGCCACTGTCTTGCACTCCACCCGTCAGTTGCAAAAGGAGAAAGAGTGTGTGTGTGTGCGAGTGAGAGCGAGACCAACTTGAAATTTTTCCTTCTCTTCGAAGGTAGGGAATGGGTTATCCCTCTCTTTTTGCTTTTCTTTTTTCTTCCCTTCATCTCAAAATCTGCTCATGGAAATAATTTCTAACCGAAGGCTGTTTTTTGTTGTTTTTCCTGTTTCACTTGGTGTTATTGTCCTTTGAAAAGTAGTGGATGATATTTAAATTTTAGTGTTGTTCTTTTTGTTTTGTTTAGTTGCATGGTCAAACCTAATTAGTTGAATTTGTTTTCTTCAGGTGAGGTATGGAAGGGTTATGGAATTCCTTGCTTAACCAAAGTTGCTTAAAACCCTTTGGTTTCACTCCAAGACTTGGTTATACTTTCCCAGTGGTTACAACTAGAACTGGGAGTTTAAATCGAAAACCTGAATCCTGCACCCTGAGAAGTAACTGCACACAATTGGGTAGAGACACTGGCGCTAGTTCCCAGAGGGTTGGAGTTGATGCACTGGATAATGGTGGTGATGGAGAGGAATCTAATGTGGAGTGGGAATCTGAGTTTCTTGGGGAAGTTGATCCGTTGGGTTACCGGGCTCCCTCTAAAAAAAGGGAAAAAGTGCAGAGGTCAAAGTTGCTTGAAGAAACTGATGAAATGGATTGGTGTGTGAGGGCGAGAAAGAAGGCCCTGAAATCAATTGAAGCAAGGGGCATGAGTCATCTGATTGAAGATTTGGTTACTGTTAAGAAGAAAAAGAAGGACAAGAAGAAGTTGGAAAGCAAGAAGAAAATAATAGTAAAGAAAATTGAGAATATAGAAGATCTTGACTTTAGCTTAGAGGACGAGTTCCCACAGCCTATCAATCCTCTGAATGATGTTGACGATCTGAAAAGGAGAGTGAGTATGTTTTCCAATGGAGTGTTTATAGAAAAGAAGGAAAAAACAAAGGAAGAATTTGTCAATAGGCTTTCTCAATTCTCTGGGCCATCTGATCATAGAAAAGAAGTCAATTTGAACAAAGCAATCACTGAAGCACAGACTGCAGATGATGTTTTAGAGATAACTTATGAAACAATTGTTGCAGTTGCAAAAGGCCTAAGCCCTTCTCCTCTGTCCCCCTTGAACATTGCCACCGCTCTTCATCGCATTGCTAAGAATATGGAGAAGGTTACTATGACGAGAACTCGAAGATTGGCTTTTGCTCGACAAAAAGAGATGTCTATGCTTGTTAGTGTTGCGATGACAGCCTTACCTGAGTGCTCTGCACAAGGAATCTCGAACATATCTTGGGCACTGTCCAAAATTGGAGGTGAACTGCTTTATCTTTCAGAAATGGATAGAATTGCAGAGGTTGCACTGACCAAGGTTGGGGATTTCAACTCCCAAAACATTGCTAATATAGCAGGTGCATTTGCTGCAATGCAGCATTCTGCCCCTGATCTTTTCTCAGAGTTGTCGAAAAGGGCTTCAATCATAATTCACACTTTTCAAGAACAAGAGCTAGCTCAACTTTTATGGGCTTTTGCTTCGCTATATGAGCCAGCTGACCTTGTATTTGATTCTTTAGACATAGTCTTCAAAGATAGTTGCCAATTGAGAGGTTGCACAAGTGAAAAGACATCAAGTAATGATGAACAAATCAGTGTTGACAGAACTGGTGCCTTAAATGGATCTCTGAGCTCTCCCGTACTCACTTTAACGAGGGACCAGCTTGGGACAATAGCTTGGTCCTATGCTGTCTTTGGACAAATGGACAGGAGTTTCTTCTCTCATGTCTGGAAAACTCTCCGCAATTATGAGGAGCAAAGGGTTTCCGAGTTTTACAGGGAGGATATCATGTTTGCTTCTCAAGTTCATCTTGTAAACCAGTGCTTGAAGCTTGAATTCCCACATCTTCAGTTGTCCTTATGTGGTGAGTTTGAGGAGAAAGTTGCCCTTGCTGGAAAAACTAAAAGGTTTAATCAGAAAATAACTTCATCGTTTCAAAAAGAGGTTGGACGCCTACTCATAAGCACTGGCCTTGAATGGGTCAAAGAATATGTTGTGGATGGTTACACTTTGGATGCTGTGCTTGTTGATAAGAAGCTTGCTTTGGAGATTGATGGTCCAACTCATTTCTCGAGAAATACTGGTGTGTATGTCAAATTTGTAACCTTTTGTTCTATAAGATCTAGTTGAATCTTAGCTAATGGGTTTGTTATTTTATATCTCTGCCTATTAGGTGTTCCATTAGGACATACCATGTTAAAACGTCGATACATCACTGCTTGTGGTTGGAAAGTCGCTTCTGTATCCCATCTGGAGGTAAGATCTCTAATTTCATAGATCAAACATATCTCATCTACTTAAATTCCCTGGTATTTTTCTCATACAAAATTAAGAAAAAAAAAACATATATCTGTGAAGCTGTCATAGTTTAACTCACATCTTTATTAGTTAGCACACATGCGGGATACGAAACAAGGTATTGTTTGAAAAAAAATTATTCCTGGCAATGTAAATGCCTTTTGGCATACTGTTGGAGGGATTATCTTTCAAATTGCACCCAGCAGAAACATTTTATCATAACCCTCTTGCATCTATATACACCTTTCATTATTCTAAATTTTGTTGAGGAATAACCAATCAAGTTCATCCCAGATGCACCCTAAATTGTCATTTTGTGTATCAAAAACACATTACCTCTTTAACGCTCATTTCTAGAGTAGGAGTTGTTCCTCAGCCAGACAATTTAAGTGTTTTTTATTCATAGGATATTGATTTGTCCCAAAATAATTTATTGATGATAGTGTTCTCTCTTGCAGTGGGAGGAAACTCAAGGGGCGTTTGAACAAGTAGAGTACCTTAGGAACATCCTAAAAAATCATCTAGATGAGGGATACGCCGAAACTACTCTGACTGGGGAAAAGTGATTGGCCAATGCTGCTTGTCAAGTGTAAGGAGATATCAGATATGTATTTTTTACCAAGCTCCTCTGATAAATTTTAGTAAAGGGGGTTGTATATTTCTTAGAAATATTTCATTTCAAAAGCATAAATTCCATTTCTCCCCATTTTGTTTTGCACTAAAATCACTCTAGTCTCTAAGTTCAACACCAAAATGAATTTGCTTCATAATATTACACAAGATCCAATTTGACAATTGACAATTCTTAATCAATTTGCTATTCAAGTTAAAATTGCCTGTAATTTGGACCCTAATATTACCAATTACCAAATTAATCTATTTCGTGTATTTAGTCCTTTGGCAACAAAGGATAGCTAGACCATTGTGTTCATTGCAATTTTATAGAGATAATTAAATATTAGACGAGAATATGTAATCAAGAAGAGTACCAGTGGTAGAATAGAACCCTGACACGGTTTAGATTCAGATTCGTTTCCTGTCTGGTGCACATTCAAAAGAGCTTTGATGAAAAATTCTGTCCAATTTGTGGGTCAATTGTTGGTCATCGCACTCAGGTCAATGAAGATAATGTTTCTGAGCTCTCTTATTTTTTTTTTTCTTGAGTTGTCTTTTTTTCACGCACACAACTCTGACAATATCTCAGGTCACAGTCAAAAGATAATCCATGTTTCTGGAGTGCAACTTCTCCTTACCAAACACTATTTTAACATTGCAGAAATCTGTCATAAGACCATCTTTTATTTTGTCTGGATATTGCTTGAGATTTTCCATGATTAAACATATTTTCTAGCAGGCATTATTTCTTTACTTGGTGGGGGATATAATTGTTGTCATCATGACACAATGGTGCCTACCAAATTCCAGAACACAAGCATACATTACTTTCAATTTTGTTATAGCTTGAAGCATGGGAGGAAAGGATTGGCTTTGAATTAACCCTTTAACTTCGTTTACGTTTAAGCCTAAGTAAAATTAGTTCCATAGTTTGATTGGGTTAAAGAAGAATATAAAAGAAGTGAAAAATATTATTTCAGAGTGGTTATTAAGAAACAAAGGAAGAAGCGACTTAAAGTTTTTGCTTAAATATATTTAGTACCTTAAATTTGGGACAATTTTTATTTCAGTCCCTCAATTTAAATTTTGTAGTTTTTAGACCCTCTATTGGAAAAATGTTATTTTTGGTTCTTTTTAGTCTTTCAAACTCATTTGGGATGACTAAAGACAGTATTTCGTGAATTTGAAATACTAAAATCGGCAAATTTTAAATTAGGGAACAGAAACTAAAACTAGTCTAAATTTGTGAGATTAAAACTAGGATTTTATTAGTTTTGGGTACCTTCAAAATTAATTTGTTTTGAAATTGGCACCATAAAAAATTATTTAGTATTTTTTATACTTAACATTTAATAGATATATAAATTTGATTTTTTAGTAACTTTATGTAATCATCCAAAATAATTATTTGCAAGTATGTTGGTTTTTGGAGTTCAAGATTGCCATGTTAACACCATTTATTCAAAATACCTAGAAAAATTACTATCTAAACCGACTTTATTTTGTTAACACCTCCCTACTAATGGTTTTATTTTAGTCCTTTATCTATTGTAATATATGTTAGTCTATCGTTAGACACAGTCAGAGGGCTTGCACAATGACAATGCCTAGCCATGCTCATAACATGACCTACTCGTATCTACTAAAATCTACACTCATCTGCATTACCATTGTTGTTTCTCTTGGCTCTTCCATTTGCTTCATTTTGCGACTATGAGCTTAGATTACAACTAAGGTAAGAACTGGATCTCTCCATTTTTGTATTTGTATTATGTTATTATATTTTTCTTCAATATTTTATCACGTTCTCTTGTTTTGTAACTACTGAGTGAATCGGTTTAGTATTGGTCCTTCATATTATTTTCCCCGTCAATTTTCCTTCTTCCATGGACCGTTGGACTGCCAATCTATTCCACCCCTGATGGAAAACCTGCAGTCGCTCTCACTTTCTCACGTGCCAATGCTCTCACCCATGTAGGTTCTATTCCTTCAGCTCTCAAGTAAAGCTTCTGCCTACTGAATTTTTTTCGTTGATGTTATTTTGTTTTTTTTTTTTTTTTTTTTCTTTTTTCTGTTCTGTTGGATGCTCTACCCATGCACTAGAAGCAGCGCCATCTTACCAAATTCCGAACTTTATTGTTGCTTTTAATTATATTCTTTCAATTTCAATAACGCACGTGAATTCATTGAAACCTGATCATGAACACCGTTTCATGAAGTGGGCTCATTCAGTTTCGATGCAATGCTAAGAAACTGAATCTGCTGTGTTTTTATTCGTATTCTGATATTTCAATTAAATTTTTATGGTGTTTAATAAAATAGGTAATTTGGGAGGTGGTTACATTTGTGAATTTAAACGTAATATCTGATATTGATATATGGTTCTGGCCTGGGTCTTGCATAATATATCCCCTTCTCTGTGCTGATAATGGGTAAAAAGCTAAAAAGGAACCAAAGTTTGCTATTGTGAAAAAGGTTGTCACTTCCAGGAAAATCTATAGGTTAGGTTTTTCTTTCTCTCGCCGAATGCTGATTCCTTCATTGTTCTTGGTTTTGTTCTATTATCAATTCTTGAAATCCTATCTAATTCAGCTACAAAGAAGAGGTTTTGAACTCAAGAAAAATCTTATGAAGGAAAAGTTACCCAGAGACAAATAAGGTTCGATTCTCACTCCTTGCCTCCCCTTTTAATTGGTTCTGAATTTATTGCTTTCTCCCTTTCTCCGTTGGTTTGAATTTGTATTATTTAGTCCTAGTCATTCTGCGGCAACTTGCGTACCGGATTTTGCTGGATACCAATTTCTAAATCCAGATTAGAGTGAGAGTGCTTTGTTTTGCCTTAATATATTCCTTTTGTTTCTCTCTTTCAATTAAACAAATGATCATTCTGGTTATACATACGCAATTTTCCATGGAATACACAGTTCAAATTTGCAGTCTGTGATATGTTTACAACTGTATGTAGATAGCTTGCGCTAATGCATATGACGTTCATGATCTAACACTAACACTATTACGGGATAAAAATACTAAAGCATTTCAGTTATGTATGGCAGACTTTTGTAGTGTATGTCTGTTTCTCACACAACCTTTTATCAAATTCTCTTCAGATCAGTAGGGGCTCAGGTACAAATTTGAATAAATCACCTAGGGAATAACATCTTTTTAAACAAATTTACGAAGGTTGTCTCTTAATCTAGTGGAGGAAAGAAGTTATATTACTATCGTTTTATATGTCCCTTTTATGCATAACATGATTGCCAAGTATCCTCAATTTGAGAGAATACTAATAAATGTACCTATGCTGACAACGGCCTTGTTTAGAGTTTTACTCAGGTGTCTTTTTTTTTTTTTTGAGCTAAATTCCAGAAGCACCTGGTAGCAATTTGATTACTGATAAATGGCTCTTCAGGCTGGATGAGAAATAGTCTATTTACTGTTCTTTTTACTTGAATTAGGATCCTGAGGAATGGTAAAACAAATTTTCATTTATTTTTTGTTCAACAGTGAAGGCAAGAGCCTTCATAATAAGATGATGGTAAATTTTTCTGAACCTTGTAAATTTCCTACCATTTGGGATTATGATATCTTTTTAGATCTCAACAGTATATGGTCATCTACATCAGTAAACAAATGATTATTTCTACACTGAGATGTAAATTGAATAATTGGTAGTAATAACATATCTTTATATCTGCTCTCCAGTGTTGTGATTTGGAACTATGAAAAATGTAGCAATTTTTTTATCACAATATTGAATTCATAACCAAGACATACGTATCAGTTAGGATTACTCTCTTCATTCTTTATGGTAATGGAACTCCCCCAAATCCTTTGGCTTTGCAATGTATATTCAATAATCATTTAAGTGAACCATTTTTTTAATTAAAACACATTTGCTGCTTATTTATTGTGTTCCCCCTTTTATTTATGCAAACTATTTTCTAGGAAACAGGCACAAGTGCTAATTGTTGCAACATGTGATCGGGACTTGAAGAGTAGAATTCGGAAGGTAAAGTCATTTTTTACTCTTCATGTCTGTTTTGTTTTGATATTTGGATTTCTGTATTACAGATTCCTGGTGTTCCAATAATGTTCATTGCTAAATACAGATGCTCTATTGAGAACCAACAATTGGTGGTGGTAGATATTCTTTAGTGAAATTTATAACACGCTTAACTAGAAATTTTTGAACTTAGTTACCCAAATTTGCATAGCTTTTTTAAATAAACTATAGGTTTAAACCCTCATTTGGTCCTCGTATTTGTGTGTCAATCTCAAGTGGGTCATCGTGTTTTTTTCGGTCTCAATCAGGTCCATAAACTTGTAAAAATGAGCCAATTAAGCCATCTCCGTTAAGTTTTTGTTGACGCCGTTTACAGTTTCTGACATGGTGCCCACTTAATATGTTGATGTGTACTGTTTGATTACGTAGAATTTTTATTTAAATTAAAAGATTATGAAATGACAAAATTTAATTGGTTAATGTTAAAATTATAGGGTTTCCTCTTTGTGATTGGGGTTTCGAATCTGTGTGCAGGTTTCAAATGGAGGTGCAAGCTGTCATGGTTGCGTGAGATTGATGATGGAGGTCGCGATTGAGAAGATGTTCGCGGTCTGGTTCTCTCTACAAATGCGTGTTTACGGTGATGTGCGAAGATGGTGTTCAGGCATGGTGGAGATCGCGAGTAGGGTGGTCTCTACAAAGACGACTTCTACTTCAATTGGGTTTTTAGATTTCTGTATTTCTCTTGCAGGTTAAAGGCTTGTGTGCAGAGGAAAGATAATTGTTGGTAGCGCTAGAGCAGTAGAAGGGTTTCAGTGGATTCTTTACCAATATCTGGGAGGAGTTCCCTAATCTGAGGATGAAAATTCCAACATTAAAAGCTCTCGTAACTGAACATTAATATCAATAACTCAACATTAATATTCAAATTCTTATCTGCATGTGGCTTTTGGGTGTATAAGAAAAGTGGGAATTCCTCCCTGGGAACAACTTTCTTTGCCTCAACCTAGCGATAGACGAAACAGTATTGAAGATGACCCAATATCAGAATATAAAAAAATGTTGAAGATCTATAAATTGGTATGGACAAAACTTGGATACAGTTTTCCAAGTGTTAAACACAACATAAGTCCAGTATCTAAACCACAAGTTTAATTTGATATTAAACTTCTGTCAATCCATGATTGTAATTTTGTATTATCAATTTATCAACCCAGTTCATACCTTATTGTGTCAATACTTAATTGTAATATCAGTTTTTGCATCAGGTGACATTCTGCATTTATGATATCATAATTGTATTTATACAATTCGCAGAAAAGCTTTTGTTTTGATGTGGTTTTGTTTTCATAGTGTCTAGATTTCATTTAGTATTTAAATCCAAAGAAACCATCTAATTTAATTTTAATCATGATTTGCTTATTAATTCAAGCCAAATAAAAATGAGGTATATCTGCCAAATGAAATGAATGTGGTAACTGGTATATCAGAATTTTTTTTCTATTAACAATATGTACGATCAGAACTCTTCAAATTACAACTTAGAGAAACCAGTATATGGCCAACATAATTGCAATTAACACAGCAAACTGTGAATTCAAATTAATTGTANGGACAAAACTTGGATACAGTTTTCCAAGTGTTAAACACAACATAAGTCCAGTATCTAAACCACAAGTTTAATTTGATATTAAACTTCTGTCAATCCATGATTGTAATTTTGTATTATCAATTTATCAACCCAGTTCATACCTTATTGTGTCAATACTTAATTGTAATATCAGTTTTTGCATCAGGTGACATTCTGCATTTCTGATATCATAATTGTATTTATACAATTCGCAGAAAAGCTTTTGTTTTGATGTGGTTTTGTTTTCATAGTGTCTAGATTTCATTTAGTATTTAAATCCAAAGAAACCATCTAATTTAATTTTAATCATGATTTGCTTATTAATTCAAGCCAAATAAAAATGAGGTATATCTGCCAAATGAAATGAATGTGGTAACTGGTATATCAGAATTTTTTTTCTATTAACAATATGTACGATCAGAACTCTTCAAATTACAACTTAGAGAAACCAGTATATGGCCAACATAATTGCAATTAACACAGCAAACTGTGAATTCAAATTAATTGTACTTGCAGTATATCCCTTAAAGTGGCAAGGAATTTTGACTAGTTTTGGCTTCTGAAATCTCCATGTACATATGTTTTTGCACTTGCAGTATTTCTGTTATGCAACTTTTATCAATGGCTGACTGTACTCATCAGCTCAATTTTGATTAGAATGTATGATTGAATTGATCAACTAGGAAGAAGCAAAGATGGGATTAGTTCAGGATTCCCAAGTGTTGATTCCTTGTTGGGAGACCAAGCAAATACACCAAGCAAAAAACAGAAAGGGAAAATCCCCAAAATCTCGCTCCGTCTTTCCTTTCGAAAACGATACAGTTCTGTTGTGACCGGCGGCGAGCTTGGCGGCGACCGGTAGCACCCTGGCTCGTGGCTCGTGGCCCGCGACAGCCGGCCTCGCTCAAGAGGCAATTGATGGAGGAACGAGAGAGCTCCTCTCTCACGCGTAAGAGAAGAAGGAGAAGGAATGGTTGATTATACAATAGAACACTCATTCAATTTAATACACATTGCCACGTCAACTAAAAAAATTACAGTTCAGCATCTGTAGACGGTGTCAACGAAAACTTAACGGAGATGGCTTAATTGACTCATTTTTACAAATTTATGGACCTGATTGAGACCAGAAAAAACACGACGACCCACTTGAGATTGACACACAAATACGAGGACCAAATGAGGATTTAAACCTAAACTATATTAATTAAGCTTCGTTGACGTTTGTTCGTGAACTCCAAAGCTGTTTCGTAAATACACAACATATTTGGCAATTTTGAAGAATGAAACGTTCACGATGACTTTTGAAATCAACACTTTATTGTGTAGAGCATTGTGTGAACCAAAAGCTGGGTGCTTTACTTTGAGATGTTGAGTTGTTGCTTCATTTTTTCCAGGAAAGTTCTATCATGCATCAATTGCAAGAAGACTTTTTGTGATCACACAATGGTACTGACTTTAGTAAGTTCCCTTTTAATTTGGATGCACATGCCAACAAACAAATGTGTCATAATAACTCTTTCGAAAAGAAGGAATATATATATATATATATATATTCTCTTTTAGATGTAATTTAGTTTCAAGATCCTCATAAATTATATATTTTTAATTGAGTTATTATTATTATTATGGTAATTTAAATATTAAATTTTGGTATATTTTAGTTACAAAATAAATCAGTAAATCCTAAATCATCCATTGGGGTTCCATATTTAATCACATCTTACATGCACAAATCCCAAACTAAATACCAAAACTTTTATTAACAAAATTTACAATAATCTCATTCTCAAACAAAAGAACACAATTTTGTTAATAGGATCTAAAAGATAGAATTACATAATAAATCATTATACAATAAATATTGTAGCATTTGAAAGCAATTAATCACTTGTTTTGGATGCTCATACCCCTTAAAACATTTATGGTATAATTATAGTGTGACTCTTGTCTCTTTACTCATCATTCTTATAAACATTTACATATGACACATTTTCATTCATTCTCTTATCCCGAACCAAGATATGGAACACTCCCATATGGTTAATCTGGTTTCCCTTATGATTTACTTAAAAGGCAAGAAATTGAACAATCTCCTATTTATATGCTAACAAGTTCTTTTTTTCTCATTTTTAACAGTCTAACTTTGTTATTTTTTTAATTTTATGAAAAAAAAAGATGTACATTTTTTGGTTTAGTTCCTAAAGTAATTTGAAAAGTGCTTGTTATGTAGGTGAATGAAGAACAAAAAAAAAGGTTGTATAAAAATAGGGCCATACGACCGTCTGGAAAAGAGGTGTTTGATTTTCAAGAATATGCTTTTTTAGAAAATGAATTAAAAATAATAAAAGTTTTATTTGTTAGTCATAAATTATTTTTAAATGTTCACATAAGTTTCTTATTACAAAAAAAAAAGGTGATTTTACTATATATATATATATATATATATATATATATATATATCACATTAAATGATTTTATAAAAGAAAATGGTATTTTTTTAATTTAATTACAATTTTTTTTTAAATTCGGAAACAAGATTAATAAATATTTCTTAAGAACATTTTCTAAACGTTAAATTAAAAAACATACAAAAGCAAATATTCTTATTTTCAAATTTTAAGGAAACTAAATGTTTTTTTTATAAAGTACCAACACCACAATCACATCCTCCCAATATTAAAATTTTCATCTTCAGTAAAATTCGTACTAAATAATTAAATACTAAAAAGTTATGAAAGTAATCATTATATTTACAAAGCAATTTATCTTATAATATATTTTAATTTTAATAAATACTTTTATTAATTTCCATAGTCAATATTTTAATAGTATTTGTGGTTTTTGTTTTTTAGTTTTGAGATAAACACATCATAAAAGAGAGTTTTTCTTTCTTTTTTTAAGAAGAGGGTATTTTTAGAAATACATATCCAAGCATACATATCTAGAAATCCATATGTAAATGCATAAATATTAAAATCATTACTTACCCAAAGATTTATATTGATTTACAAGGAAGTATTATTTTCAAAGGACATAAATAATTGTTATTAGGTGTCAAACTTTGACCCTAATCACATAATAAAATAACATTAGTGTATTCAACATGTAAGTTATTTGAAAATATGTTTGAAACAATGTTTATCACACTTTTGGTATATAAATTGGATATTTTAGTGACTGAAGATGCAAAATCTTATTTTAGTTGTGATTCATGGTAAACACAATGGGAATGTAGAAAGCAATTTAAAGAGAAGACGTAAAAGCTTTTTTATTTTTCATTCATACTTAGCCGAATGAGTCATCTCCTACTCAAAAGCTCACAAAATGTTAAAAGTTCAGATAATGTTAAAAAATTCAAAACAAATATTGTGCCGACATTTTTTTTTCTTATTTTGTTTCCTATCTTAATAATATGATATTTATTTTTTAGAGCGAGTTAGTATAACATTAATGCTATCAAATTACAATTAGATACTTATATATAACAAATAATAATTAAATGAAATGACATGTAAAATTCTGAAAGATATAATGAAAGATAATAAATAAATACACTTTTAAAGAATTGTAAGAGATTCAGGCATCTTTCAGGAAAATTTTCATAAAATTTATGTGTAAATTACGAAAATGAGATAACTAACTTAAAATTTATGAAAGTTATCATGAAGTCTGACGATTTATCGATTAAAGTTATCAGAGTTTGAGAATTTATCGATTAAAGTTATCTGACAAATTTTTCATAAAATTATAAAATATGAAGTTATTACAACTCATAATAATTATTTTATAAATATATAAATGAAAGTCATTAACAATAATGAGAATTTTTAATTTATAAGATATCGTGACAACTTTCAATTGAAACTAAAATAATTCAAATTTATAATAACTTTTATTTAATATATTTATAAAGAAATTCTACAGTAACTTCACATTTTCATAATTTTATAAAAAAAAACATAATTAGCAACTTCAGTTAAAAAAATGTGACGTACTCCTAATGTGTAATTTTAAATTAACTATCTCATTTTTATAATTTACAGAAGAATTACCCAATTTCTTTTAATTTCCGGTAAATTTAGCTATCTCCATTCTTTAAAAAAAAAAAAAGAGCCTATATAAATAGGGTTTAAACAAGGAGAAAATGCGGCGCAACGGTCGGCAGTTTGAAATTAGAAGTAAAAAACCTTGGCTTCAAAAAAGAGGATCCTTTCTCTTATTCCCTTTCTCACATTATCCGAACAAACAAAACCACTTCTCATGGCCACCCAATCAACTACTATCCAGCTCACCCTTCTCTCAGCGGAAGGTCTTCACGTCAGGGGAAAACCGGCCAACACCAACGTCTTCGCGGTGGTTCGCGCCGACTCCATTGCCAGCCACACGACGGCCACGGCCACGGAGAGCAACGGGTCGCTGTCCTGGGAGGAGACGTTTTCGTTGGAGGTGGGGCCTTACGCGAGGTGCCTGACGATTGAAGTGAAGTGCAGGACGGGAGCGGGAGAGAGAGACGTCGGCGTGGCAAGAATCGCGCTTTCGGATTTTCTTGGAAGGTCATTGCCCGGCAATAGATTGCAGTTGTGCTACAGGTTGAGGGACTGGGATGGGAGAGAAAACGGGACCGTTAATTTCTCCGTCAGAGTGGTGGCGCAGCCACAGCCTCACGCCGCCGCCGACGAGAACGGTTGTGAGTCGTCGTTGGGTGGAGTTGTTACCGGCATTCCCGTTTGGTTGGAGAAGTCATAGACAAGTAGCAATATTTGATTCGTTGAATGTGGTTGAAATGTTTGGTATCTTTTAGGTTTTGAGTTGATGGACAACAAACAAGTTGGTCGTTTTGTTTCTGTTTATTTGACTTTGAATATGTCGGAGCTTTCTAGGTGTTCCTTTAATGTTTTTTTAACTCCTTCTGTTCTGACTTTCTAGTTTTAAGTTAAAAATGATTATTTGAATTTTTTCACTTGATATTATTCTTTTTACATTTTTTTTAAAATATAAAAGTTCTTTTCTAAAAAAAAATTGTAATGTATCAATGAATATAAATGTGTGTTATTATTACACTTTTCTAAGTTTTAGTTTATATTTCACTTTTATTTATTTTTAAATAAATAAATAATTTTTTACATTTATTTAAAATTACTCTTTCTTAATTATTTTTCAAAAATATAAAAAATTATTCTTGTGATATATGTGACATTTAAATCTAATCCAACGATAATTTTATTAAGTACTGACATCAACAACAAAGTATAACATGTAAGTTTATTTATGGCTTGATACTTGAGAGAGAGAATTTGATACTATTTTCTCTTCTTGGTGTGAATATGTTAGTTCAAGGTTTTGAGATTCGATAACATGTAATATGGTGTGATCGATGTTTTTGAATTGGTTGAATTCTATAATAAGTAATATCGTTTAAGGGGCTAAGATGATGTTTAAATAATAGGTTAAGATTCAATGAGGGATAAATATAATCATATTTTTTCTTTTCTGAAGATGGTCATGTAAGTAGCAAAAAATCACTCAGATTTTTATCAATTCTCTTTTTTGAAGTAGATATTGTTTATACAAATTGTTCTAGTGAATAAGTTTTTCGGTCAAATTTAAGCAATGTGTTTTTAGTGGTGAGGTGTGAGTGTGTTGGTTTATACAAGATGTTATGAGTTAGGATGCATTGAGACTATGATAAGATTGTATTATTATTGATGATTATTTGATAAAAGAAATGTATTTGTATGATATATATTTTTTATATTCTATGTGATATTTATGATATGAAAGATTTTTACACAATGATCCTTCCTTAGTTGTGTATAGTAGTTTTTTTTATAAACATGTAATGAGAGATTTTGAAATAATATAATATTTGTATTACATAGTTTAAAATTTAAGATTTAAAATTATTTAAATATTTTTTTCGAAACGATTTTTAAAACCAAAATCGTAATGGAGTTTTTATTTTATATTTAATTAATGTAAGACTTAAAAAATTAGATGATAAAACAAACAAATTCGATAAGTTTAAGTGGTCTGTCAAAAATGAGTTGGATTAGATTAACTTATTAATTGAAAATGAATTGAATTTTACAATTCAGTTTGGCCTGCTATCGAGCTGATATATCTGTTTATTTTGTCATCCAAAGTTTAATATCACATAGAAATGGAATGAAATTGTTCATTTTTTACATGAAAATGAGTTAATCATCGACTATCAAACTAATTTTGAACTGAAAGGTCGGTCGTCAAAGTTGTTTCAGATTTTAACCAAGTTATATCAAATATCGACTAAACTATATCAAACATTGACCAAACTGTATTAAAGTCGACTCCACTGTTAGATACCAAATTTTTTTAATAAAGTTGAATTGAAAGGTTGATTCGACTAATTTACGAAGTTGGTTTGCCAAGCTATCAGATTTAGCAAGCCGAGTTAATTTAGACCATCAAATATTATGATCTACTTTTTTTTTTCTTAGAGTTGATGGACTAATCATCAAATTTGACCATTTTTATCATCTCTATCTAGAATGAAGAAAGAAAAAAACTCAAAAACGGAGTTGAATTGAAAATATACATATGAATATAAAAATAACCTATGATTTTTGGTATTGAATCTCTTCAATTTTTTCATCTAAAAAAAACTCATTAAAAAAAAGAAGGCAAGCAACATGCATATTCAAGTGGTATAGTTGGAAAGAAAACCATGCATGTGGATTAACAACTGGAAAGAGAATGATAGTTTCACACAACTGTGAATGATTCATCTTTGTGTCGCATTACCCCTTTGGTGGAACAACTTGACAACTAGCAATTGCTATTTGATTTTTTTCCTTTTTTTATTCGGTGGAAATCAATTTGATGTGTCCACATGCTGTCAGATTGATGTTTACAATTTCTTTACGTATAAATGTGACTTTAATTTTTTTTCGTAATATATTTAATTTTTTTATGATGAGTACATGATAAATTTCTATATTAAAAAGATAAACTTTTTGGAAAACATTTTTTTGACATTATAATTTTGATATTTTTATTTAATTTTACGTAACTTATATGTTGATTAATTATTGAAACTTTCATTTGTGTTTTCATTTTTGTAAAATGTTATTTATTAAATTTAGATTTTAATAATTTAGTTAAGAATATTATTTTTAGTTTTTTAATTTTAATTTATTTATATCATGAAAGACAATCTTATTTATTTAATTAAGATTGTATATTATGCGACTTATTTGTTTTGAATTGGAGTAAGATGTTAAAAGAAAAAAATTATTTTTTAAATACGATAAATAAATGATATTATCAAATTTATGATTAGTATAAAATTTTTTTAGATTTTAGTTATATTTAAGTTTAGAGGAAACATAAAAATATTAATATATTATACTAATCATGAATTTATTATATCATATGAATAATATGTATATGTATATTTTTGTCGGTGACATTATTTTTAGTGTCTATATATGAGGAGCTTATGTATTTAATTTTGGTGAATCTGGATGAATTTTACAATTGGTTTAAAGATTAATTTCCAAAAAAATATATAAATTTTTGTAGTTAAAAAGGACTCTTTCATACGAAGATTGATGTCTCTGAACAATCTTATTCAGAATTGATTATAGAAAACTTTGACTGATACCTCAGTTATAAACACAATTTTGAACAATGTGAGAAGATTCAATGCTACCTAACAAAGTAGAAAGTTAAGTTTTCAAGTTCACATTTGAAGAATCAAAATCACATTTTAATTCTGATAAACTCAACCAGTCATGCTCAACTCAAAAGCTAAAACAAAATGCACCTTTTACTTATATTATCCAACATATATATTAATGTACATAATTGTTTCTCATAAATTTTGGCACTTTTAAGTTTAGTTTTGTTTTATAAAACCTACTTATAGACAGGTATTTCAAAGAAGAATGATTGACAAGACACAATATTAATCAAATATCAATTTAATTCATATATATATATATATGGGATTGATATCATTTCTAACTTAAAATTTTAAGACCATAAATTTATGAATCTTTATCTGATATTTAACTATTATTTTCACTTAATATAAAACTTAGATTTATATTTAAATTTTCAATATTTATATATTATAAATGTATTTTATTTTTAATTGATATGATGTATTAATAAATAATTCAATAATAATAACATAATAAGTCTAACAAATAACAACTTTTATTAGAATAAGCTTTATATAATTTTAATATTATTTTAAAAAATAATTTTAGATCTAATTTAATTATATAAAATCAACTTGTTATCCAAAGATTTTCATGTATAGTAAATTTTTCTTATTTTTAGTTGAAAGGCGATTTGCAACATAAATAATTGTATTTTTGGATTTGAAAAATTTAACCATAATATCATATAACATATGAATATTAATCAGTGCTGAAAACTACAAAGTTTTAATAAGTGATGTAATGACATTTCATCAAAAAGTAGTCTTGTAAATTATATTTCTCAGGACGATGATATTTTGACAACATTTTTTTTACAACATTTTAACATCATCTATATGTCATTCTGTGATTGGTCTAAAATTACTCCACAATCAATAATAATAATCATAAACATCAATATGGACCAATCACAGAATGACACGTAGATAGTATTAAAATGTTGTCAAAATATCATTATTTTATTTCTCGTGCCCATGGGACAGAGTAACTACTCGAATTGATTTTGTCTTTTGCAGAATAGGCAGCCATTATTTAACTGTCTATTGTTATTTGACCTTTGAATATTCTAGAAATTTTAATAGTCTAAAAGAAAATAAATAAACGAAGGTAAATGTTATACATAGAGTTTGAACGATGCACTTCAAAGGAAATTGCAGAAAAATGTATCAGAAATTTAGGATATAGAAAGGTTGACAGTGCATGCATGCACGTCACGAAACCATACCACTTCGCCCTATATGTACAAATTAAAAAGCTAAGTAATTACGTGAGAATTTGGTAGAGATTAGATAAACTTTGATTATGATAAATAAAGTCTTAACTTTTAATCAAAATTTATGTCATTTTCAAGATAAGATCCTTTAAAATAGGACGTCCTTTATTATATGTTAATTACATATATGAATACAAAAATTAGTTTACTGATATTAGTTACATACGTAACTAACACTTTTCATATTTAATCAAGAATAAAATGACGGGTCAACAACTTAATCTCATTAGAAATTATCCGTATGAAATAGAGAATTTATTTTAAGATACTAAAAGCACTTTTACACGTGAAAGACTTTTGAAATTTTTTTGAACAGTGCATGTGACTATTTTATTTATTTTTTGTTTAAACTGGGAGGAAAATAGTTATATTCAGAGTGAACTAAAATGAAAAATCATAGGATAATTACTCATAATTTGAAAAACAAAAATTAGACGAAAACGGTAGAACATATGAACTACTACTCATTTATTAATCACACGACATGTTTATCTTGCTTTACATAGAATATTGGTTCTTGAGTGAATATATATATATATTGTCAACTTTTTATTATTATTTGAATTATAAATATGAAAAAAAAAATCTCATTCTTTTTTATTTTCAAAACTGGTCTTCTTTTTTGAAAGATTAAGGAATAGTGACAGGATGGATTTGAAATAGAATAGAGAATAAAGTGATGTTATTTTGTGATTTGGTGCTGAAAGTAAAAAGATTTCAAAGTAAAAATTATAGAAGTTTATGAATGATTTGATAGATTTGGGAGATAAAAAATTTAATAGATTAAGTAGTAAAATTATATACTTGTTCTTAATAGAAAATAAAATGTAATTAATTAAAATTAATTTAAAATAAAATCTGAATGATATTTTATAAAAAAATTAATAGTGTAACTAATTTAAAATAAAATATGATTGATTAAAAATAATTTTAATGAAATATTGAATTATAAAATAATTAATACTATTATTA